AGGTCTTACAACTTTTTTGTCAGATTTTCCCCTAAGTATTTCATTTTTTTGATGCTGTTGTAAATATATACATTTTTTTTTAGTTTCAATGTCTGTTTGTTGCTGTTATATGGAAATACAACTGATTTTTGTATATTAATATTGCATCCTTCAATCTTGTTGAACTCATTGTAGATTTTTGTTGGTACCTTATGATTTTGAGATAGATAATTATGTTTCCGCAAATTAAGAGACCCTTAAGCCTTTCTTTGTAATCTGGGTGCCTTTCATTTTTCTTGCTTTATTTACTTATTTATTTAAAATATATTTTAATGATTTTTCACAGAGAGGAAGGGAGAGAGATAGAGAGTTAGAAACATCGATGAGAGAGAAAGATAGATGAGAGAGAAACATCGATGAGAGAGAAACATCGATCAGCTGCCTCCTGCACATCTCCCACTGGGGATGTGCCCGCAACCCAGGTACATGCCATTGACCGGAATCGAACCTGGGACCTTTCAGTCCGCAGGCCGACGCTCTATCCACTGAGCCAAACCGGTTTCGGCCATTTTTCTTGCTTTATTTCACTGTCTGGAACCTTCATTACAATGATGTATACAGCTGGTGAGAGTGGTCAACTGTGTCTTATTTCTGATATAAGGGGAAAATTTAATCTCTAACCATAAAAAGTCAGTTATCTGTAAGTTTTTTATAAATCCTTTTGCCACATCGAGGAAGTTCCCTTCTCTTCCTAATTTGCTGGGAGTTTTATTAGAGACTAGAGGCCTGGTCCACAACATTTGTGCACTGACGGGGGGTGGGGGGAGTCCCTCAGCCTGGCCTGCGCCCTCAGCCCGGCCTGTTCCCTCTCGCAGTCTCCCTGTGGGAGTGAGCCTGTGCTGTCAGTTGGACATCCCCGGACGGATCCTTAGCGCTGTCCAAGGAGGTGGGAGAGGCTCCTGCTACCGCCCCTGCACTTGCCAGCTGTGAGCTTGGCTTAGGGCTTCTGGCTGAGCTGTGTTCCCCCTGTGGGAGTGCACTGACCACCAGGGGGCAGCTCCTGCGTTGAGCATCTGCCCCTTGGTGGTCAGTGCATGTCATAGTGACCAGTCGTTCTGCTGTAGGTCGTTTGCATGGTAGCCTTTTATTATATAGGATGGATATTGAATTTGTTAAACTTTTTGCATCTGTTAATATTATATCTTTTTTCTTTTTAAGCGTGTTATGATGTATTATATTACTTAATTTTTGAATGTTATACCAACCTTAATTCCTGAGATGAATCCCAGATATTAGAAATATATGTTCATGAAGGAAAAATATCTTTGTCCAGTTTTAGAGTCAGGGTAATGCTGGCCTTGTAAAATGAGCTGGTACCTTCCTGTTCAGTTTTCTGGAAGAGTTTATATAGAATTGGCATTATCTCTTCATTACGTGTTTGGTAAAATTCACCAGTGAAGCCCTCAAAGCCTAGAATTTTCTTTAACTTTAAATTCAATTTACTTAATATAAATTCAATTTTTAAAATATATATAATTACAAGTTCAGTTTAATATTTATAGCATGGCATTTTCTTTGTGGGAAGGATTGCAACTATGTAAGAGGTGTATGGATATTCATTTTATCTATTTTTTTTTGAGTGAGTTTTGGGAGATTGTGTCTTACAGAGAATTTCTTTACATCTAAGTTTTCAAACTTATGGGCATAAAATTTCCCATAATATTTCCTTATTATTCTTACAAAGTCTGTGGGGTCTTTAGTGATATTTCTTCTTCCATTTCTGATATTGATAGTTTATGTTTTCTTCTTTCTTGCTTAGTCTGGCGGGACATTTATTAATGTTATTGATTTTTTCAAAGACTATGTGTTTGGTTTCATTGATTCCTGCTATTTTTTGTTGTTGAAGTTTTCAGTTTCATTGATTGCTGCTTCCTTTGGTTTTGATGTGCTTTTCTTAATCTAGTTTCTAAAGTTGAAAAGCTTAGGTAATTAATTTGAGATGTTTCCTCCATTCTCTAGTTAGGAAGATAAAGGGAGCTGAGTTTGCTGTCATTTGCTTAGTGCAGGGCATGAATGGTGCACCCCACAGTCTGCAGCTGCTGCATCCCCAGTGATGAGGGCCGGGCTGCTTCCTTTTTGCT